CCCCCTCGCCTAGACAGCACCACAAGGAGTATAAGAGAGAGAGAGAGAGAGAGAGAGAGCGTGAGAGAGATCAGAATCAGCCAGGAAGGAAGATATGACGGTCCTTTCAGGGCTTCTCTCTGGTATCCATTTTCTATATTTAACCTCAGAAAATTTCCGGGGTAAATTTGGTAAGGTGTATATCAGAATAGGTACACCAGCATACTAAAACAATTATGCATATAGTATATCATATAGTATAATGCCAGTGATCTTGACCATCCTTAGTCAATAATGAACAGTTATATGAGTCCTACTTGCTTGAACAATCCTTTAAGTGGAGGAATAGCTCATTTCAACTGCCTAGTATTTTTATGGATGGTTGTCATTATACATATTCTTCGATTTTGCATACTACATATAGTATATTCCCACTCTAGAGATTTTCAAATTGTAAATTTTGTAAGAAACTCAGAATAGTTTCATGAAGCATACTGAAACATACACAAAAAAAGACAAATTGCACCAGAAGAAGGCAATTATTTAAACGAAAAAGTTTATATAGAGCCTCGGCTCTAAACAATCAAATTGGAGCCCACCTCAAAAATTTCACTAGAAGAGCTTGTTTTGATATCCAAATATCCTCAAATTGATCATCTCGACATCAAGATGCATGGACATGAGAAAAAAATGGATTTCAAGTTTTGGAAATAGTGCATCTTGTAACGCATTTTTGGACCGTCAATGTTCAAGATTTTCAAGTTTTCATCGATCTACACTATTTTTTAAACATTAAATTTTATAATTATATATAAACATATATTTTAAGGCTATCACAAAGATTTCCAGTATTGAAACCACATTTCTTGACACTATTTAAAGGTGTACTTTACTTTGATTGTTTAGGGCCTCGGCTCTATACAAACCACACCCTTATTTAAAACCTTAAACTTTTGACTATGTAGGAAATAACGAAGTTGCTCATGAAAAAAAGTAAATAAATAAATAAACAAGAACGTTAGATGCAAGTGTGTTACCTGTAAGGACCATCTCCTACAAAAGCAATCCGTGCCTCCGGTAGCCTGTCCATGAGGCTGCATCAAGAAG